CTGCATTGCCGTTCACTAATATTTGTTGGGGAGAACTCTCCGTTCCATTCTGAGGCTCTTCACATGACATCAAAATTAGATAGAAGATATAGTGCCTTAGTGGAGGTATGAAAACAGTCTTTTGCCTAACCTGATATAATATCTTTCATTTAGCTTTCAACATCATATAGCAGTGAGCTAACCACCTGGAAATTGGGGATCCAGCAGGTTCAGGCATGTGGGTCAATGGTAACAGAGGAGCAGCCTCATGCCATGTTGATACCAATTGAGTACTTTCTTATGGGATACGGCTTATACAGGCCAACGCTAAGCGTCAGCCCAAGAAGCCCTTTGAGTCCATCTTGCATCTCGCCGGAGCTTCTATCACCAGAAAGCATGGGCTTGAAGTTAAAACCGATTAAAACCCGTATCTCCTTTAAAGTTTGAGAGAAGATGAAAGAGAAAGGCGGCAAGATCACCTTTTTGTAATCTATACATGTGAGGTGTTTGTAACATCTTTTGACCGGTTGGTGACGATCAGAGAGGATTACCAGAGGGTTGTAGATAGAGGAAAAAAAGTACAGACAGAAAAGGAGATATTGTCAATTCTTTTATTTGTAACCATAAATCTTAGCTGACGTGACGACGTGAAATCATCTGTAAATGATCGGAATAATTATTTACTAGAGAAGAGCCAATAATGATAATAACAGTGGGTGGAAGGTGCATTTGCACTTGGCCTTTTTCTTTTATGTTATGAAATATAATTATGAAAGAAAAAGTATTAGTAAAGTAAAAAGAATTTATTTAAATATGTATTTTTAAATGAAGTAAGGAGTTTATTTATAGGTTAATAATTTATTTTTTATAATTCATACTTTTATTTTTGTATAAATATTGATTTATATCTTATTAGTTTTATATTATTTATGGATTACATGTTTAAAAATTTCATGTTTTGCAAATGAATTCAATTTCATCTTTGATTGTATCTTTTTTTATCATTTGTATATTTAATTTTTTTCTTTTTTGATGATTTTATTTTAGAACTAATAGTTTTCTACATTTTTAACATTCCTTATTTTACAAAAACATCAATTCTAATAGAAATATTTGCAATTGGTATATGAAATTTATTTATTTTTTTAAAGTCAGTAAATACATTTGATTTGTTATAATTTGTAAATAAATTACTTTTGAATTTTAAGTTCACATTGATTTGTATGAACATTGTTGCATTAAAATGTGGTAAGTTCATATTGTATGCAACTATATTAGTTATTTGTGAATAATTAACAAATATTTGATTAATTAATATTAGATGTTGTTATGATATTTCTTGATTAAATAATTGAAAAAAGTTTATAAGATAATTGAGATAGGATATAAATTTAAATTTAAATAAAGATTATTTATGTAATAATCCATTACATTTAAATTTAATTTGTTTAAATTTAAAAAAGATATCTTATCTCTATATTCCTAATATCTTTATAAATAGTGAATAGATATACTAATTTTTACATATAATGAAAAATGGATGTGAGTTGTTTTGTAAGACAAAAAATCAAAATACTCTCTCATTCTCTTCATTCTTAAGGCATGATAAGAAAGGCATGAAGGTTTTGAAACATAGAGGACTTTAGTAGCTACTCCATAATAACAAGAAAAGATCATTGTATACATGAAAAAAGATTCGTAAATCAAGTTTTTTTACTTAGGAAGGGAGTCGAAATTTCATTTCTTCAATTAGGAAAGGAATGGAAAATTCATCTGAAAAATTAAGCTCACCTTTTAATAGTGGTTTCAGAGCAAGTTTCGACTTGTTTTTATCTTTTTAATTCGTACAGTAAATATATATATGTATGTGTGTGTTGCATATTTTGAAGCATGTTTTGGTTGATGACTCAAACGCAAATATCATGAGACAAAAAAATTGGCCACCTCTCAATAATGATATCAAAGTAGATTTAACTTACTTTCATCTTTTTAACTTGATTTTAATTCATGCATTAAATATGCATGTGTTGCATATTTTGAGAGTATGTTTTGGTTGATGGCCCAAACATATATTTCATTCGAAAAAAATTGGATAGCAAATTTGTTTTACTGAAATCAATAAGCTTTAATCTAGTGCAAACAAGTACTCGAGTATTTGGTTCATTGGTTAGTGCATAATCTCCCTGTCTAAAGAACAGGATTTCGAATCCATCTTCCTCCAATTGTAAAAAAAATCTAGTACGAATAAGTGCACTTGAACATTTAGCTCATTAATTGATGCATAATCCCCCTCTTCCAATTATAAAATGCAAATAAGTACACTCGAATATTTAACTCAATAGTTGATGCATAATCTCTCTCTCTCTAAAGAAAACAATATAAAATGTATATTTCTATGAGAAAAAAAATTTGGATAGCAAATTTGTTTTGTTGAAACCAATAGGTTTTAATTCAATGCAAACAAGTGCATTAAACTAGAGCCATGTGGCTCCTTATGAATGGTAGGAAAACAAGATAATAAGTAGTAGGATTCGAACATAAAATCATTATGACTCTTAAATGAGCCTTTCAATTATTATACCAAGGAAGCATTCTTGAGATAAAAGTGTAGTAGAAAAGGGTCAGACATATCTATGAAGGGCATGATGTAGCAGCCACATGACTCCAATGGATATATTTTTTAAAATTACATTTTTGCCTCACAAGTTTTTGTTTTTTATTGAATGACCTCAAAATTTTTTGGTAATTACCATTTGACATAAAAAATTTATTTATTTTTTCAAAATATTATCTATGTTCTTGGCATGTTAATATTTTATTAAATTTACATGTATTATAAATATAGTTAATTAATTTGTTAATTAACCACCTTATATGTTGTATGTTAGATATTGGTTTTTTAAAATATGTATATGATTTGAGTAAACTTAGCAAATGCTTGTTAAATTAATTATTTTACATATGTTGTAGAATATTATATCTCTTATGTGCCATTAAAGAATATTTTACATGCAATATTTTCCTTATTTGATGGTAAAAATTTATAAATGGTATAATGTGATTATTTTACTTATTTGTTACGTAAAATTGTATGCTAAAATTGATATTTTATAATTGTCAGTATAAACCCTACAAGCCAATTAGTGGTTGTATGGGAGTTGTACTTTAATCTATTTATGTAAGACATTTTTAATTTACAATAACATTGAAGTAGTTTTTTATTTATAAGTTTGTAATTTAATTACTATTTATACTTATGCAGATAAAACCCATAGAACTATATATGCTTTGTAAAGAAATTATGATAAGATATAATTATGAGATCTTATACATCAAAGCATTGTTTCTAAAAGTTCTTAATCATTGTATTATTAAGACTAGACATCAATAATATTTAAAGATCGGTATATACTATGTTCTTTATTTGTGAAATAAGCAATTGATTATACTTGAAACTAGCATGTGGGTGCTTGTTTTGAAAGAGCAAGTTCATTAAACATGACTCAACATGAGAAATGTATTTAATATTTAACTCTAATGTCTATACAAATATTTCTTACATGTTAGTTGTGTAGATATTTATTAACTTGAAATATTAGGTTGTTTTATATATGAAATGCTATATATATAATCATATCACTACGTGTTCTATTAAGGATGTCAAAACAGGATAGGATTAGTTGTAGAATGAAGCATGTAAAGACAAATGAGTGATCAAGTAAGGAATTATCACCTCAAGTAATTTAGAAGACATATCTTAATAATTTTTTCTAGATAGTACTTATTTAATTATCAAATTAAGAACCTATCAAAGCAACATCTAGAAATTTATGGTCATTTGTTTAATGACACAATGTATAATAAAACCAAGGGTACCTTTTATGCACATTACATTTCAATCAACTTGTTATTATCAGGGTATTCGACCATTTTGTCCATATAATATTTCATTTCATATGATTTCTTTCATCTGAATCCAATCTTAAGCTATCCAACCATTTACTTTCACCAACTAACAAATCTTAATTTTGTTTATTGATAATTTCTTGAAATCTCCTACAAAAGCAAATAAAAAATTTTCTTTCAAGTTCTTTGTTGATTTTTGTCAACCTTCCTTCTTGGTGAAGGTGATAGATAACTTTTTTTTGGATAAAATACCTTGATCTCTTAAGTTTTAATCAAAATTATATGAAGTTTTTTAATTTTCGAAATAGACACTTCGTCTCAAAAAAATATTTTTCGCTAAACACCTAAGTTCAGTTGATAGTTAATCGTTACTATTTCTTTTAATTTGCGAACATAACAAAGTTAGAAAAATAATTTTATCATTGATTAAATTTTATAATTATAATTATATAATTTTATTATTTTTTATTAATTAAAAAAAAACACCCCATTGGGGAGCACTGACCCTTCTTTGGGAGCGTTGGCCGGTGCTCCCCTTTCTTGGGGAGCCGGGGTTGGGCTGCTCCCTATTTTTTTTTTATTTTTTTAAATATAATAATTTTTTAAATTAATAAAAAATAAAGAGTATTTTAATTTTTTTAAACGGTGTTTGTAGTTTTGAGATAAGATGTTTATTTCAAAAATTAATAAATTTTTATATAATTTTAATTAAAATTTAAGAAAATTATAGTATTTTACCTTTTTTTGTTTTTTTAGTTGCTATTTAGAGTGAGACAGAAGTAGGTCGTGCACACTCTTACGCAAATAATTCTGTGGCTTTACTATTGATGATTCAATGAACCGCACTCTACCATTTCAACCAAACATGGTGGGGTCTATCAGGCCATTATGGTGGGCACTGGTGCTGACTTGCAGGATCATATTGCTGTTTGGTTTACTTATCTGTTGAATATGGATTCATGTCACTTTCCAGGAAAATGGACAAAAAAAACCAAAAACCCCATTAGAGCACTAGCTGTCACTAAAATAGTCCTCCTGGTCATTGCCAACTTTCCAGGAAATTTATTTGATTTTCATCACATGAAAAAAGAAAAAATAAAAGATGTGTAGGATTATCCACTGAACGTGAATCCAAATATTAAACACGATTGGAAATAAGAGTAAAAACTCGTTGTTTGCATTTCCATTGGCTAGTGTGGAAGCGGTTGAGTTCGAAAGGCTGCATGGGCAGGGACCGAGCTCGTCTGGAATTTGCAATGAACTGGAACCATCTGATCGACTCCAACAGCGTAGTTCTCTTCAATGAAGATTTGGTTGACTAAATGGGACAGGACATCGCCAAGCTCCTCCCCGTCATTCCATTCATGAATGTTTGCTGTGATGAGTTTTGGGTTGCTGCAAATCAGCTCCCACACTGGAAAATTCTTCCTCGGCATTAGGAAATCATCCTCTCCGAGTTTCAAACCCGGGCAAAAATCGGCAGTTCCATCACCCAGATAGATAAACCTTTTCTTTCCGGTGGCAGAAACAGGGGCCTGAACTCTTTCCATGATCAGACCCTATTAAACAATGACAACGAACCATTTTATACTAAATTTTTGGAAGATATCTTCTAAAAATGATTTCATACCATGTATTAGATGTTAATCATTAGTTTTTGTAATTGAAGATTTCTACTAATAGGAAATAGAGGTTTTAATGTTATTTACCTTGCACATGTTGGGAGGGCAGATATTGCAGCCGTGGGAAGACGATTCGAAGTCATGGTAAGGAGAGATTCTAAGCCTGCCTTCTCCATCAACGTAACTCGGGTTCGTGTTGATTTCCGAGAAACAATCCAACAGTCCATGATTCTTCAAGATTGTCTCGATGAAGAAGACGTTGGCATCGCTTATTATCCTCAAATCACACCTGAAACAATGTCATATTACTTGTTAGGTTAAGAGTTGTGCATCACTCACCATACTATTACAACACAGGAAATCGTAGTTCAGGAGGCTCACCCCGAAGCATGGGCTGATTTAATAGCAGAGACAATTTTGGGATGTAATGGAACCCGTCTTAAACAGTCAGCGATATCCTCAATTGAGTTTCCCCTAGACTGGACCTCCATTATCATTCTATCCTGGAAAAACAGTCAAGAAAAAGCATCCAACATGAATCTCTGATAGCCATTATGATGAAAATCCAATTACATAATCCATAATGCATGTCAAAAACAACTGAAATTAAAAGGAAGATTAATGTTGGTACTATAAAACCTGATTATATTACACTAACCATGAGAGTGTTCAAGGGGAAAGTAGGCCGGAGTTGAGTGAACAGCTCAGAAACACCAAACCCTTCCACAACCCAATCATCACTGTCGCATTCGATGATTGTCTTGTCAAAGTCAAAAACCAACACCACCCCTGCCATTGCTGATCTGATTGCACTAACACTACCGCGATCTTCACCAGCACTTAGCTATTTGCGCGAAAGGAGTACAACTATGCAAGCACTTTAGCCAAAGGGAGGAATATATATACTTGCAAGGTAATGGATGGACAAGTAATCGATCCATTACATGGACTTGGTCTCCTATTTTCATTAGGAAAAGGGCACACGATGACGGTGACAGTTGTATTTCCCCAGATCACATAGATCAAAAAAAAAAAAAAATTAAAACCCAATTCATTTAGGAGTTAGATTTTGGGGTGAGTATAAGAGATAGTAATGATGTTCTCTGATCTAAATACGCTCTAGCCTTTTTTTCCCTCTTATTTTTTTTACAGGTGAGCAATCTCAAAATAGAGAACTCGAATTTTGTGCCTTAAAAGGGAGACAACGCTTAAATACGAAAATTAATTGATAAGTAGACAAATAATTTATTTTTGTACTATTTCTATCGGACAGCTGACTAATGTAATATTCAAGGAACTCCTTTGTTCGCCGGGTCGGTTAGCAACGAAGCATTAAAATTCAAGTGTCTTTCTATTTAGCCCTGTTTGCAATCCCAAGAATCCTTTTTTAAGGTTGCTTCGAAGAACAAAATGACAATGGCATATGCAAAGCAGAAATAATCAAAGATGAAATCAAATCAAGCAGGACACTGAAACAGCCAAAACCCACCCTCAATTTGTTGCAAAAGGAGGAGTAGTGATGTGATACGTTGCAGAAGCAGTTTCACTGCCCATTAAGAAGTTCACTGAATTCACGTGTTATAATCTGGTTGGAGGTTAACTATTTCACCCCCGCATGAGCTATGTAGACTTCTTAAAAATTTCCGCTAAAGTTGGAACTGAAATAGGACAAAAGAATAAAAAGAGAGAAGAAGAGCAAAATGGCTAACAGCACAGGAAATCTTTCTTCGTTTTATGAACTTTGCAAGGCAGGAAATTTTAAGGAAGGCCAGGAATCTGGAATTGTGTTGTTTTCAATCAAGTGGACATGACAAGTTGACAAACAGCTTAAAAAAGTTTCCGTCCCTTGATGCGGTGCTTTTGCAATGCAGGATCGGCAGTGGTGTACACATCCTCAGGTTCAATCGTGGAGGATCAATAACTCTTGAGCAGCAACTTTTAGCCGCCAATCTATCATGTTCATGTGCTGTACTACTAATATTTGTATTTTTTGTTTAATTTCAGGGACATCATTAAGTACAATATTGGTGACCCAGGAATCCCCATGCATATGAACAAAAGTATGCCCCCAGGGTCTTCATACCAAATAATTCCATGTACTTTAATATGAATTCATAATATTTTCAACAAAGGGTTTACTGTTTGAATAGAATATATACTAATTACTGATAGAATTATATCCTTAAGGCTAAAGGCTCCAACTATATGAGGCATTATGTACAGTTGTAACCTGGAGGTGGATGTGTTGTTTCTTTCCTATTGAAACACGGTCGAATTCTTTGTCCCCTTGATTCTTTCTTCAGCTTCAATTGATGTTAAATCTTTGATTGTTGATGGTTATCTGGCTTCTGTGGTTGCTGTGGGTTCCCTCCTCATTTTGCCGAGCCTTTCTCCTGTTCATCTCTGAGTACATTTCCTCTATCATTGGTTTCCACAGTCGAACACGAGCATTGATGAACCAGTTGGACACCTGGCCATTGGTTGATCCAATTTTACGCAGTGAGACAATGAGATCATATTAAAAACTCCAAATTACCACAAAGTACATGACATGTCAACTCCTTTGAACTCTCATGGTAAAAGAGGATTAAAATTCTTCACCAACACGTTTAAGTTCAAAGATGAAAAAAAAGCTCCCAAGTACCTGGCTCCTTGTCAAGCCACTTTTAATTGCAAGCAAATGTTTCTCTGCATCCTTAGGGTACCTGCAAAATAGGAAATCTGTCAAAATGTGCAACACTGTCCCCATTGTTGTGCATAAACGTGAAACAAGCAAACTATTTCTTGTCCTAGTTGACTTCGAGAAAATGCTAGTAGCAATTCTCCAGTACGAAGCTCACGGGTGAAGAAAGTTCTGAAACATCCATGCACGTAAAACTGAGACAGACTTTTCAGGCAACCCTCTCTGCGGTCTCCATAATTGATCTTTTTTCTTTAGCTGCTGCAGTGCCCATTGCTCCTGGATGAATGAATTCTGAAAAGATTTTTCCCTGACTCTAGTACATCCACCGTCAAAATTTGCTCCCATAGCTAGGATTTGGTTGCTGATCCTCTCTCTCAGGTTCTTGTATAAGAAAGAGATTGTCTGTAGAGCAAAACGAGCATGCACTTGAGGGTCCAACTCAGTTGCAGCATGGAATGCAGATATAACCGTATGGATCTCATCCAAGCATTGACTGTATCTGTCATCAACCTGGTCAAAATGAAGGAGTGCAAAGCCATTTAAGTACCAGAATGCTATGTCAAATGCAACACAGAATAAAGAAAAGAAAGAAAATGGAGCAAAAATAAAAGATAAACAAATAACTTAAACGGTTTGCTACTGCTTAAATATGCCCACATGCTTGACAAAGCCTACTGGCTTAAATAGAGCCGGCAAGTGTGACCCAAGGTTATTCCACTGTTTAGTCTAAAAAATTTTGAAGTTATGAACTTCAATCTATATTTTAGCTTACATCACATTAGCATCCCTCTATAATTATCTATTCAATTGCCAAGTTAGTTAAGCAGCTCATATCTCAAAGTCCAAGGTAGCAATTGATGCAAACCGAATATGTTAATTCTACCAACATAATTTAGACCAACATACCACTTGCAGTAGAGTCAGAAGTTGGGTTTTCTTTGCCTCAACAGTCTGTTTTCGTACTTCTGGCTCTAATTGAACCTCAGAATTACCATCAATAGCAGGAAGCTCATTTGGATCCATCAGTGCCATCCCTCTCGCTGCTAGAAAGCTTGAGGAGAATGGAATGGTTGCTCCAGCTCCAACACTCATCTGGTCTAGATTTTCCAGTGAATAGCTTGCAATTTGAGCAAGTATTTCCTGAACTGCATGAAGATATCTTGATCCTGATATCAGGTGTGATACTTGAACTGGTTCATAAGAACCAAAACTCAGAGAAAGCTCCTTAGCATTACAAGAAGTTTGTTCTGAGCCTAACCTTCTTGTATTCAAGCAGAAGTGATTTGCACCAGAACAGTTTATCTCAGAGGACTGATCAGGTATAATGTTACTGCTAATGACAGCAGGCAGAGATGTGGCAAGACTTAAAGAGAGCTCATTACTATGTTTAGAGGAACCACAAGGATAATCTATGCTCATATTTGCCCCATTGGATGAAATCCACCGGTTTGGATCCGGACATCCTATTGATGTATATGGTTGAAATGCCGTTCTCAATGGGGGTTTCCCAACAAGCTCCAGAGGAGAAGGAAACTTCTCAAAATCCCACTTATTGTTCAAATTACCAAGTGCTTCATTAAATACACAGTTCACAGAGGTTACCAGGGAAGAATTTATGCCATCAGAACAGTTAGTTGAAGAGTAAGTCCTGACATCCAGAGGGTACATGGAAGGTGCTATGATTTCTAACTGGTTTAAGTTTTCTTGAAGAACACACTTTGCAGGTGGAGTAGAAGAGATGGCTGTTCTGCCCATGAATTGATCCTGAAACTCCATATTATCTTCTGAAGGTGAACTGCCGAGTGAAACGTCACTCACAACAGTCCTTCCAAGAGATGTAACCAATGCATTTGAGTCGAAGAACCTGGCATGACTAGTTATGTGTAGATCAGCACAGAGATCACTGATAATTTCTCCTTGCGCTGATGGAAGCACTGGAAATCCAGCTAGTGTCTGATTTTGGTTGATGGGGTTAAATGAGTTGGATTCAACAATTGAATTTGGGGCTGTCTGCGATGGAATCCCATCAACAACCACAGGATTTCGGCTTACCATTGCTTGTGAAATGCTGAACATATCATTCTCCATCATATAGTGGGCACAAAAATCACATGGGCTCGGGCATAAGCAGCTGCTTCTTCATTTGTGGTTCTTAAGCTTCAATTGTCTGTTAAGCCAATTTAATTTCACTATATAACAAACTTCCTTGATTCAACGTTTTTTGTACACTTTTACAACAAAAACCACTGCACAAATTTTCTTGCTGCAACTATATATTTTATGTCGTCCTCATGATCATTCTATCTTGCTGAGATGATCCACCAGGAACCTGGGTAATTGGTAATGAAATGAAATCACCATACTAAAATAATTCAAAAGAACAACACTTCACAGTTCACATACTTGCAAAGTTGAAAGAAACTTGTAACCACGCATCCCGAGACCAGAGTTTTAAAATAGCACTTGTATCAGATCCCATTTCTTCTTAAGAAGAGTACAGAATTATGGTACACAGACTTTTCACATACATTATATGAATGATTTAACCTTTCAAGATTATTGAGGACACTTCCTGCCCCACTCTTACACAAGGATAAGATTATTGATAGAGAAATCTTTCACCACAAATTCAAAGTGCAAAGGATGTCAGACAGAGTAAATGGAACTCGCAAGGCCTCAAAAATAAAGCATCAGGACATGGAGTTCCCCAAAAAAAATCCGTAACTAACAGCCTTGAATAACTCAAATCCATGCAAACAGTTATAAAAAAATCCCCTCCTATGGGAATGAATTGCTAGAGAATGGGAGGAATCCTTCTTTTTGTCAAATAAGGGGTAATCAGAACCATAGCCTCAGTAATTAGGAGAAGATGTGTCTGATTAAACATACATACTAGTACTAATGAAAAAACAACGTTGACAAACGAAATCTCTATCAGGGAAGATAGAAGAACTTCAATAGTAGTAGTACTTAACAGCTAAAAGGGGTATGGAAATGCACACCAAAGCAAAAGCTTGGCAAAGCACAACAGGCTACAGCGCACTGACAGGAAAGTCTAAAGTTGAACCAAAGGAAGAACATGAGGAAATATACAAAGCCTAAATCTTCATATTTAAACAGTTCATGTAGAAAGCTAAACCTTGAAGATGTTTTAGAGGCTTCAAAATATATTTTCTTCTGTACTCGTGTGTTTGCGTGCGTGTCTGAAACCACGTGGATCAGCAGAAGGTAGGCTGAAAAAAAGATGACCAACCTGCAATGATTCGAAGAGTAGCTTTCAACCTTGCATTTATCTATCAATAGACAAACCAGCTGAGGAAACTATTTTCTTCACCAAAACCTTATAAAAGCAAAGTATTGGAGTCAAGAATTTTCGTGCAGGTTCAGTGAAATTCCAGGGGATCAGAGATGAGAAATCGTTCACCCTACTCAAAATATAAAGTGGTCTGTTACTGAATTTTGATTGAGAAATACATGTAGGCTTTTCTCAGAGAACTACAAAAGAAGCCATTGCAATGCAAAGTTCACATGAAATCATTGGTTTTCTGTTTCTCCATAAAAAGAGCATTGTCAAAAAAGCCAGGAAACAGTGGCCAAAAACTTTGTTTCGTCTTTAACAAAAAGAATAAGATGAAAAAGCCAACAGGACTCATGCATTATCCCCACCTTTCAGAGGGTCATAAAAGAAATGAAAAGAAAAAAAACAATGGCCAACACAAAAAAGTGGGGTTAATTTGTTTGCATGAACAGAAAAGTGGAGTTTTCTCCAAGAACTCAAACCCCAAGAAACTGAGATTCACAGTTTCAGACCCCAACAAGATTCATAATCTCCCCCTCTCTGTCCACAAAGATTTAAAGCTCTAAAACACATATGGGTTTTGAAAATAAAAGACACCAACATCAGAGAGAACCCACTAAAAGAGAGAGAGTGTGTCCCAAAAGCCCAGAAAAAGGACGAAAAAGAAAAGCAGTTCTGCAGAGAAATGGAGATGAATGAATTGGCCCCATTCATTAAGATAGAGTGAGAGAGAGAGAGAAGCCACGCAAGAATAAAAACAAGAAGATAGAGAGAGAAGGAAGGGAAACACATTACTCTTTGGTGCAGTGCCACTCATTTCTGTTGCAGGCTTTAGAGGGGCCCTCCCTGTTGCTTCTCTCTCTCTCTCTCTCTCTCTCTGATCTCCTTTGTCCTCCTCACCACATCTCATTATCTGCTTCTCTGCAATCATCACAACCAAAATATCTGGATACTCTCTGTTCGAACTCCTGTTCACGGCAGGTCGTCTCAGCACCATTTTTCAGAAGAAAGTCTTTTGCTTTTTTAGCTTATTTTAGACAAGGATAGTCTAATGTAATGTGTTTGATGAGAAAGATGAGTGAATGGGGTAACAAAAGTCTTCTACTTTCCCCGCACCAGAATCTAACAACTAAAGTTTTTAAGGCAAGCAAATGCATTTGTGAAGAAAAAGAGAGGAGCTAGTAAGAAAACACACTGTTTTTTGCAGTGTACTTTGAATATGATGATGCAAGCTATGCCAAAGGTGACGAGAATATCTGTTGGGCAAGATCTTTGACGAATTTATTGAAGCAATTACACGCTCTATTTAACTTCCTTTCCTTTTGGCTTTGTTCCCTCGATCCAACTCCAAAACCAGTTTAAATTTATACAGCTGCTACTTTACTTATAGTCTTTACAGCCTACACAATGTGAAACTCTAGACTACTTTATTATTATTATCCTTGTCTCTGGCGACAGACTAAGTATTTTGTAACGATGAAATAGTGATAAAATCAGCTCATCTTCTCTCCTAGTAACTAATGTTTTAAGATGTCTCGGCAAAACAAGTAGATATTTCTCGGGGATCCTGATGTGATAATACAATCTTTTCCTCTAGGAACTGTGTGCTCTCTGGTGCCATGTGCAGTTTTAAGACTGCTTAAAAGAATCCAACCAACGGATATAAATGATGGTAGGAACCTGTTTTCTCATGTATTCATTCAGTCGAATAGTCTAACAAACTATTACTTACAAAACTAAAAACAGCATCTGTAGCTGTTTCAATAACTAGATTTCTCACAACTGACAATGAAGATTGTTGCCTGCGTTACATACTTGTGTAGTTCGGGCCAAAGGGATTAGTATACATTTGATGAGGCTAATCTTTGATTAATGGATCATAAGTAAGAGGGAACTGGGGTAAAAATAAGAGCAATAACCTTGACCGGACAATTAATCTTTGGAGAGGAAGTACCCTCTCGAGAACTGGTATACGATCCCAAAGATTTGCCTCGGACAAAAGTATACATGAAAGGAGTTTTGCCCTGTGGTGTTTGACATGTAGCCAATGACGACAGGGTGGAGCCCTCCCTACGTTAGGACTTAAAGACAAGGCAATTATTACGTTTTGAAGGCATGAAGTTAAGATGGAGGCAGCAGCAGCTGCTCAGACCCGGTACAAGGCTTGAACCAAGCTCCAGTTTGCTTCGTTCGGACTTGTATTCCCTATTTTCGACTGCAGAAATAGAATTATGCAATCAGACAAAGAAAGAGACACTAATGCTTTTCTAACACTCTAAAAATTCAATTGCTACTCCCAAATGGGTTCATTTCATTGCCTTCGATCGTGGTAGCTGCACACTCATAAGAGAGACAAGCAACAATAACAATAATGGGCTTAAGGCCTTGAGTTGTGCCTTATGCAGATTACAGAAGTATGCAAGTTCTGGACTGTGCTAAGCCCAACATCAACTGTACTTTTTCTTAGCTAACTTTGACCATGTATAAGAATTTTCCATGAAACAAAGGGCCCACGCAATTATGCATGACACTGCATTAATCTGAGCCTCTAGCTAGCTAGGCCTAGGAAGAGAGCTCAACTTAGGGAACGTCAAATCAGTTGCGGAAGCCCAGATTGTCACTGCTACATGTACCTCACTGTTTTCTTACCCCCGGTTGGTGTCTAATTGGGTTTACACCATGACATCCATGGAAATTGAGATTAGTATCGTATTTTCTAAATTCGGGGATTGGAAGTTTTTCTTTCAACAGTAAGGAAAAGGAGATGGGAATCGAGAAGGGTCACAAACATGAATTATGATGGAGAGAAAAAGAGACAACATATGCTTATCCCCCACTCCTTTTCTTAACTTCCCTAATCAAAATCTGCCAGCATCACGGAAAAGAGCACACAGTTGGTTTTGAATTAGCTAAAGAATGAATAAGTGGCTAAGATGGTTTGAGGTACAAATTAACGAGAAGTGCTTAATTAATGGGGGTGTGTGGTTTCTTTCGTGGTCACATGTCCCTTGAAGTTGCTCACAACTTTGCAGGAGAAAGGTGAATCTGTCATCTCTTCTCCTACCGTTGAATTAAAGGGTTGACATTGAAGCCACACGAGAAAGCGTTTGTACCAAATGGTTCACCTATTTAACTGCTCTGTCAACCCCATGCCCCCATTTCTTCAAACTATTTTGTCTCTGGGCATATGATCCAAGAAATAGGGTATATACAGACAATTACAGCTCCATGTTCTCTCATTTTTCCCACTCATTGTTACCAATTGAGAGTTGAAATTTCATAATCCCATGAAAAGCTCCAAGGTCAACCCTTTCTGTTAAGAAACCATGAGACTTATGTGGGGAAATGAAAATGTAACACTATGTTCTACAAAAGTTCAGGTGAAAAAATTGAAGTACCCTCTCTATCATAATCAGACATCATTCATAAATATTGCTGAAAGGAAAGTAATTCATTTTTAGGAGGGAAAAATTTCAGTTTCTTGCCAAGGATTAATCTGTGAATTGATAATTACAAGCATACAGGATGACCCTTGTCAAAGGATATTAACCTATGTACTATATATTAATTATATATATACATATATGTTGAAAAGAGAGAACTAAAAAAAATGAGATATTTAGTTAATTTTAAGAAAGTCTATGTGTAATTAAATAAAGTAAATGACCTTTTTGCTTTATTTATCACTTACATAATTGGATTTTTTTTGAACGTATCATTCAAATATGAATGGAATTTGTTTCGTGTATATCCGTCATTTGTATTTCCGACCAAATTGTAACGATACGTTAACAATGAATTAAATTGAAATAAATACAAAAGGTCATAGATGAATAATTTGGGTTTTACAAATTGTGACTGAAAATAAAATTTGATAACAAAGTAAAAAAAAAAAATCAATGATGCAATTGACTTTGAAGGGATAAAACCCTAAATAGTCCATAATAGTTACATGCAGGGGGAAAATTGGCATGAGAACAAGTACTGAAACATGATTGTTTCTTATTTGATGGGTCAACCTTCAATAAGAACAAAGATGAATGGCCTTTAAATAATTTATTTGAGATTAAAATAATATCCCCATAACAATATAAGTAAATTGAATTCATCATCCAACAAAAACTTACGATATACAATCCAATCGTACGTCCAATCCCAAACTGTCAAACCCCATTAATAAATAGAAAAAAGGGAAGAAAAATCCAACTTCCAAAATCCAGACTAAGAACAGTTCCAAAGAGAATCTTACCCATATCCACCAACTTCAATAATCTTGTTCATCTTATCAATCATGTCCATGAAGGGAAGCCATTGCCACAACCCCAAGCTTCTGCAGATTCAACTTCACAACTGTATCCACAAACATTTTTGTATCTTCCCCAGTGTTCCCATCTGGTATATCCACAATATAGGACTCCAAAACAATGGTGTAAACTTTGCCTCCCTTGTGAAACTCATTGACCGAAGTGACTGATTTGTAGTTTCTCAGCCTATGCTCACCTCCAACAACCCTAAAGCTTAGAATATGCTTTTCGTCATCCAAAATCTCTAGTCTCTCGGTACTAGTCGAAGCTGGAATACCCGAAACGACGGTGACTTCTCTAATGCTTCCGACGCTGCCATCACCGCTCATGTTACAACTCTTGATGAAGTGCTTGTATTTTTGGGGGTTGTCGAAGCTCCGGATGAAAGGCCACACGGCTTGAGCTGGGGCGTCGATACGCTGCGTTACTAGGGATGTGCATATGTTTGGTGTTGGCTCGAATTTATGGTATGTGTCAATGAGAGGCTTCAGCTCCACGTATTCTTCTCTGGTTAGGCCCTGAGGGAGGGTTTGGCTTGAGTCCATGGCTATAGCTCTCCTAGCTCAGCACCCAGTTTTAGCACGGGTCACGGTTGCACCGGTCGGCTGGTGGCTGCTTCTGGTTGCAGCTAGATGAGCATGCAAGAAAAGAGAAAGGGATGAAGCTAGTGAAGAAAAGTTGAGCCTTTAGAGCTCCTGAAGGGAAGACCAAAATGAGAGGCTTGAGGATGGGTTGAATGGGTTTAATAGTATTTATTTTCTTGTGTTTTCATTTACTTATTTTTTAATTTTGTTGTTGTTTGATAGATATGCCCTTTGGCAATGCTCTTTTTAACCAACTTGTCAATGCATTGTGTTTGTCCTTTCCCCAATAATCTAGGGAAAATGACATGCTCTTTAGGGAAAATGACAAGTGGATTATTCAATTGTAGATAATATAACTCAATAATCTAGGCTCAGGAGATGGGGGCGATTTGTTTATAATTAAAGGATTGTCAATCCTTAGCTGAAGCATTCTCGTTATCTCAATCTTATCATAATAATGACCAATTGGTAAACACAAGATCTAAACTCTTAAGGTGGAAATCCTCTATTTGAAGCTTTGCACATTTGGACATGAATTAATCCGTTCATCTCATGAATCATGGCAATTTTTGTCTTCATTTTAAGAATTTTAAACAAGTTTATAAGGTGAAATTAATTATATAATCTATGAAACCATTGAATTGTAATAAATTTACTTTATTAATTAATCATTTATCATATAAGCTTGAGTGGGATGATCCATTGAGACTTGAAAGCTTTGTACTATTGTAGAGACAATGCCTTTTTAAGTATCAAAACATGGTGGAAAACGACAAGAAAAAGGGCAGACAAGCAAAAAAACCAAAGACAAAAGTTAGGGAGAAACAAAGAGAAGCTCATAGCCCAAAAACAGAAAACACAAGGTGGGACTGTTCTTGATACATCTCTAGTGATTTGTCATTGTTAATGATAAAACAGTGGTTCTGCCATTGTTGTAGAATGGTTGACTGTAGTTAATGATAAAATCTAGGGAATAGGAGGGGAGGGGAGGGGGGATGGCAATTTTGGCATGGGACGTGAATAATGAATAGAAATATAGTTAAATCAACACAAGCAAAGAAAGGGGGAATAAAGACGAGGAGACTAAATGCAGGGAGTTGTCTCCATCGTTTAAAAGGCAAGCTGGAGATTCGTGGATCATGTGAGAACTCTAACAAACTCCCGCGTGATCTATAACTCCACTTTGC